TTCACCCTTGTAACCCCCGTTGGGGAAGGTTAATAATCCACACGGCAGAATTGAAGAATGAGGGGGGGGAAATCGTGGAAGAGCGAAAGGGACAGAACCGACGACGGACAGGCCGGTCGAGGAACGAATTGGAAGCTCGAGGGGACGAAAGGGAGGGGGGGGGGAGGGAGACCATGGGGAACCAAAGGAAAAAAGGCAAGATTGCGAGGCCGGCCGGAAACGAACCCACGCCAACCCAGGCTGAGCTCCCAGAAGGGGGGAGAGGAACCACAGTAGACTGAAGGCACTCTTTCTTACCTGGCAACAACCCTTGACCATCTAGCCTGGAGACTCTGGCAATCCATGGTGAACACCTGAGGGCTCAGGCAGCACTGGAACTGCTGCCTTGAGGGAACCTCGGGTGGAGAATCCCACTTGTCTGGTTCCGGCAGGAGCAGTGCCTCTCAGCCCCCAATCGGGGTAGACATCATGCCAAGTCCCATTCGGGCATAGCGGGTGGAAATACCAATCTGACTGTTATCAGAGACAGAGAGAGAGAGAGTCACTCTCCATCCAGGCACATCCCAGGCTTCCCCGGGAGGCAAAGGAGACTCAAGTCTCCAATACCCATACCCAATGCCAGCATTGTGAAGGACGGAGTGGAAACGAAAAGGAAGAAAAAAGAAAAAAAAGAAAATAAAAAGAAAGGACAGACGGAAACAAAATCAAGGGGAGGGAAAAACCAGACTTCACTTGGCTGTGGATCTCTTAGCAGCACTTTCGGGCCAAAGTCTCGCCTGTCGTAGGTCAGTGAAGCCGCCTTACAACGCATGCATGCGTTGTCTAGCCGTCCTAGCGGTCAGGAAACAATGCAGACGAAGTAAAAGCAACAGGCCGGTGACATCCAGATAAATATAGAAAAGAAAGAAAGAAAGAAAGTAGAAAAGCAAAGCAAAGCAAAGCAAAGCAAAAGGATAATGTTAGTCACGAGAAAACTAGTTAGCATCAGAGCAATGTCAAGTGATGAGCAAAATCAACTGGTTATCTTTGGTCGCTTATTGTACCTGGCTCCAGGCGGCAACACCGACGAGCGGCTGCATGCTTCACAGTGAAGCCACACCGAATTAAAGTGTCCGTCGAAGGCGCTGTAGTCCCAGGAGAATGGAAAAGTTGTCAGTCATATAGTGAAACGAAAGCAAGCCCAAGTCACCGTCACGAGGCCCCGGTGCATGCAATATCCGAGGATATCGTACCCGGAGGATCTGGTGGGCTGGGAGAGAAAGGTGAGGAGAAAGCAATGAGAGAGAGTTAGTTATGTGACAGAGTCACCGGGGTCCCCCAGAGATTTATGAGGTATCGTCCACCGTGAAGGGTTGTTCCGGCAGGTTAATGGGAAAAGGGGAGAAAGGGCTGGAAGGGGAAAAGAGAAGGGAATGGTCTGTGAGCAGGACTGATGATTTTGGAAAGGAAAATTGAAATCCGAATCCAGAATCAAAATCAAAAAAACCCCGAAAGATGCTGGTTAGTTTAGTTGGGGATCCTCCATGGCTTGCTAGCCTCATGAAAAATTACCCCATTTACCCGTCCAGTGGGGAGGGGGCAAGATGGGTGGTAATCAGGTATTGAGCATTACGCTGAAGGGAGAGAGGCAGAGGGAGAGAGAGGGGGGGGGGGGGGTTGTGGTTGTCAGAGGCAGCGGACGAGGGCCTGACTGCCAGGGAAGGAAGAACAATAATTGACGGAGGGGGAGCAGATCGGGGTCATAAGGACGAAATATGATGATAGGCGTGCTCAGATAACATGATTTCGGCCCTGCTTTCGATAGGAAGGGTAAAGGGGGGAGTTTCGCAAAAGTGGGAGAGAGACAGAGGGGGGAGCCGTGGCCTAAATTAATAGCGAGCAAGTCGTGTTGGCTGCTGCGACGACTTGCTGTTGTTAGTTGTTACTAGTCGGAAGGCTGACCTAAAGCGGTGATGATGATGATGGCAAAACGACACCCGAAGCACCATCAAATCATCCCATCGCCGTCCACACTCCCTCCCTTCCCAACGCGTTTATGTAGATAGTTTCTGGATGACTTGAGTATTATGAGTATTTACTCTTTTCTAAGCGAATACTATTGCTTACTGAACCTTTTATGTCTGAATATAAAGCCCAATTACTCTTTGATATTGTTCCCATCTAGTAGCCGCAGTATTACTTGGGCGCTACTACGGCAAGTACTAGTGCGTGAAAAATACGTTAGGGGCTGACAGGCCAGTTCCCGTGCGTGGCGAACCGCCCTTCCCGACCTGGGCCTAACTAACTGTATGGATGTCTAGTAACGCCATAGTAAGCCTTCTCTTCCCAAGTTCCCTTTTCCATGTATCGATCTGTCTTCGTAGTATTTGGAACAGATGTCCCTATACCTGTCAATATTTCATAGTAGGATTCGTAGACACTACTACTCGCCCAACTTGTGTGCCTGCTTAGTTGCAATCTACTTGCTACCGTTTTGATCTCTACTCATTATATGCCGCCAGCACCGCCTGCATCTTCAATCTCCTACGGTTCCACCAAGGAGAAAGCTGTCAATAGATCCAACGTCTACCACGGTACCGAACGGCAGAAGAATAACAAGCATCATTGACTAAAAAAAGAATAGTTTCAAGACTGTACAAACAATAATGGCAAAAGCGGCTGGCTCCCGGTGCACTATCAATACGAATCATATCAGAAGGAAACGCGACAGCCAACCCAGAGATTTGCCCGAGGCGGGAAATGCAGGTACAGAGTAGGTTCAGCGTGGGATAATAAGTGAGTAGGCTCTCTCACGGCTCCGGGGGACTCGAGACGGGGGCACTGGATGACGGTTCAATGCGCTTCGGCCAGATTATTCTCCACCATCTTCGACGACTGGTCAGCTCATCCTCCGACTTCAGTCTCCGTTGTATAATGGCAGTTCTCGCTTGGTGACCGAAATAGAGCGAGAGGAATGACAAGACCCCAAGGTATACAGGAATAGCGTTTCTCATTCGCAGTTGTGACCAGGACTGAACCGGGAGTTCCTCGGATGATGGTGGGGGAAACGCAAGAACGAGAGCATTGGCAATTGGCAGCAGGGTGCAGCCTAGGATCCCAACATATACCCCGTAGGGCTGGACGCGGGACTGGTGGACTCGAATAAAGCCCTGTTCCTCGGTCTTCCTCCGAAATCGAAGGTAGATGATACTCGAGCAGAGCCATGAGATGGAGCCGGACGTAGTAATAAAGTACATAAGTGAATTGAAAAGGGCCGAGCTGGACTCTGCCAGCGACAGGAAAGCAAACATTGAGAATAGCGCAGATGTCAGTATGGCCACATAGGGCACGTCATATCGGTTGCATCTCGTAAGCATTGCTGGAGCATGTCCAGATTCGGCCAAGGTGTAGAGTGTGCGAGAGGATATGTAGAGGAAAGAGCGCCCAGAGGCGACCGATGAAAGGAATATCAACACGGTCACCAGGATCCGTAACGCCGGGATGCCCGCGCGAACGAAGCCCACGACGAAGGGCGATGTGCCGGCGCCCGTGCCATAATTGGTCAGTCGAGGCTCATCAAATGGACTAACAAAGGTCATCATGAACGCGCTTAGAATGTAGAGGGCAAAAAGATAGCCACTGTCCGTTCGGGCCATGCTCAGGATGCTAGGACCTCCTTCCGTGTTGGAACGCTCAGCCCTCTGAACAGTTATTTCGGGAGTGAAGGTGAAAGAGATCACGCTGTATAGAAAGCATTGTAGGAATCCAAGGCACCGCCCCCCACCGCCGGGGATGAGATACTCGTTCATGGGTCCAGGTTCGTGCCAGTAACGAAATCCTCGTATTGGTGTTCCTGGGATACCTCGAATTGCTAGGAACAGCGAGCAAATTGTCAGGCCCGCAGTAGTGACGATCTTCAGACCCGTGAAAATAGTTTCAGTTCTCTGGAAAGCCCGCTGGGGGAGCATATTGAATAGAAGGATCAGGACCGCGACCATTGCAATTCGGATCGCCATGCTGGGCTCAGGAGTCCACAAACTGAGATTGACCATGGCAGTGGTGATCTCGAAGGGAACCATCATTGCCAGGGAGTACCATCTGAGGTAGCCTAAAGAAAACCCCAGATGGTTGGAGCCATATTCATAGCTGTGAGCCACCATGGTACCGTTGAGTGCAGGTCGGTGGGCTGCAATCTCTGCAATGGCTGTTGTCAAGCAGTAAGATAAGAAAAATACCAGTACATATGAACCAAGTAATGATGCTGGACCACCGGCAGCCAGAGCTTGGCCGGCCCCAATGAAGAGGCCGGTTCCAAAGGTGGGAATAAGAGCCATGATACGTGGTTAGGGATAGAAGGATAAGTAGAGGATGTCGAGGAAGCCTACGAGTGTCCTGGTGTTTCTCCCGAAAAAGACGAGGCAGCAGGCGTGATTGCCGGATTGGAGGAGAGGGCACCTCCTTCCTCTTCCGACAAACGACAAGGAACGGAAGGTTGGCTGGGGAAGCTTCGTGCAGCAAGAAGTCATCTTACACCAGATAGGCACTGCGACACTATACGGCAGATAGGCCAGAAATCCATGGGTATCATTGTATGCCAAACAGAGCAAGAATGACTGCAAGGTGAACAAGTCGAGATCTAATCTTCCCATAGCTAGACCGCAACAAACGCCAGTCCGAACAAATTGAAACCACTATGATCACCCAAACGAGCAGCAAAGGAAGCCCCGTCACGTATCGGGAAAGAGTCAGGGTGTATGGCTCCTGCAGTGCGTAGAGACAGTGGGAAGAGGCTAAGTCCAGGTTGAAATCAGGACTTCAAGCAATGCAGCAGCAAGGTGACTTTGGCTCTATTGGCAAGCCATATCGGTTTCAGCGTACTCGAGCCATTCTCCAGAGATGGACTTCTTCCAGAATCGTACAATACCATCGTCGCCTGAGGAAATAAGGCAGTCACCTGTGTAGAGACTGATTAGCACCGAAGGCAGATTCTCAAGACGTTTCACTGCGAAAGGGGTCCGCTACTAACCAGCGTATGAGAAGCCAACTTGCCACACGTCTAGGTGCTTGCTGTCAATGCATGCTATTTCCTTGAACGAATGCTTGAACTGTGAATCTGCGGGCGCGGCACGACTGGACATCGACACAGGAGCACGGCTTGCAAGGGCAGAGCCGATACCTGACTGGGTGGTCGCACGAATTGATGATGACTGCGATGAAGAATGTGCGTGGTTGCCATTGGAAGTTTGTGACCCAGAGCCAGAGGCCGTGGTATATACCTCGAAAACCCGGATGAAGCCATCCTTGCAGCCACTAGCAATGAGGTCATATCCCCTCACTGACCCATTGGCCCAAGAGATGTCTCTCACAAGACCACCATGTCCCGTCAGTTCGATGGCATGGTAAAAACGTCGACTGGCATCAGTGCGATAGATCTTTACGCTGTCCATGGCGGCTACCACCAGCGACAAACTTTTGCGATCTGAAGAGGGCAATACAGAATGCGTGATGTCCGAAGGATCATGATGGAACTGCACTTTGAAGCTTGTTTCTTCTCCTCGCTGAGGAGCAGTGCAGACTCTAAACTGATCTAACGGCTGCCAGTCCGCAAGAGTGTCGGGACTTACAGGCTCCATGATCATCAGGTAGCCGTCGCGAGTAATAACGGCCATCCAAGATTCCAGATCAATGTTGCGAAAATCGATTGATACAAATGGGTGGCGCTGAGGGGCGGTCATGCGAAAGATGGACCTGAAACGCCGGCCTGAATTGGGGGGTTGCGTAACATCCTCCTGCCATATCTTGCATTTCATGTCTTCGCCCACGCTACCAATGTGCTGGCCCGTGAAAGGGCCATTCCAGGTCGCCTGAGTAACAGTTAAAACCAAACGATACCAGACCAGATACCAAGAAATAAGGGGCCACTGCCGTGGGGAGTGCTTACATCACGGATCTCCGCGTCATGGGCACGCCAAGTATCTACGAGCTGCCATTCACCGTCTTTCTGGTCCCAGACCTTCATGCGGTGATCAGTTGAAGCCGTGACAATGCGATTGCCGTAAAAATTGAATTTGGTGACCGAGACTAGGTCTCGATGACCGGCGTCAAAGTCGGCAAATCCAGCCATAGTGGGCGTGTGCGGTGTCCCCAATCAGAGACGAGACGATCAAACCGATCAATCAGAGTGCACAGCAACCAGCCTTTAGCCACCACCTTCAGGGAACAAACATTCAAAGACGCGTCGAAGATCAGCTGCAGAAACCTAAGAGGTAGGGGGGTGAAGCCTTCCCCTGATCTATGTAGATACGGCCTTGCAATCGCCTATAGAAACCAAGCAAGGCGTGCATATGAAAGCGCCGGGATGCGATAGCTTCAGGCAGCTTAGGTAAGACAGTCACGCCCGATGCCGGTCGGAGCTGGCCTTCACCGCCTAGACAAAGAATGGCGGTCACCCATGTGCCGGCAGAATAGAGCTCCTTCCCCAATTGCTCCACTTGCTTCTTGATGCCACCTTGCCTTTCTCCAGCGCCAGGGAGATTACGCGTCCTGATGGAAGTGAAAGTCTACTTAGCATGAGGCCTTGGAGATAGGCTCATACCGAACCATTTGCGCGATGGCAGCAGCAAATTCAAGCTCTCTTTCTCGCCAGGAGACCTGGCGGCTCTTCGCCTTGGTGGGAGCCTGCGTCGGCATCCTTCTGAATACCTTCCAAGGCGATGGTGCGCCCTTGGTAGCTTCGCTCGCGTTTAGCGGTATCGCATTCGCAGTCACGTTTAGTATGATCAGATGGCTTGTACCGGTGTTCTTGAAGGCAGGCCTGAAAGGACGCGATATGGCGAAACCCAGGAGACCCGAAATGTATGAATAACCCATGTTTCTTTATTTTGTTGTATGATAGTCTTTCATTGCATACTTGACCTCATGGCCAATGCTAATGGGCTTGCGCTTAGACCGGAAACAATGGGAGCCGTTTGCGCTATTGTCTATCTCCTTGCTCTGATCTTCTTTATCCCCTTTGCTTTCTACAAGGATATAGTGGCTGCCACCTCAGGTGGAGGCAACCGAGATGTCGTAATTGAGGTAGAACACGTTGAGACTGGCCGGATGCTACACCGGTTTCCTCACGGGAAGGTCAGTATCATTTTGAGTGCTTTGATCTGCGCTAGCCTACTGACAGCGGAAGTTCACAGCTTGCGTCCTATCTCTCCGGTCTTCTTTCACTGCAATGTATTGTCATTCTCGGAATTGGCGACGACCTACTTGATATACGATGGAGACACAAAGTCCTGATTCCCGCCTTTGGAGCTATTCCAATGCTTATAGTGTACTTTGTGGACTTTGGTGTGACGCAAGTCGTCGTGCCAGTACCGCTGCAGCCCTATCTGGGCTCCACTATCGACCTCGGCTGGTTGTACTATGCCTACATGGCGGCTGTGGCCATCTTCTGCCCTAACTCCATCAACATGCTGGCTGGAATCAACGGAGTTGAAGTGGCCCAGTCTTTGGTGATAGCGGTTCTGCTGATAGCAAACGACGTTTTATATTTGGCCCCCATTACGCCATACCCGCATCCGGCAACAGACTCTCATCTGTTCTCTCTATACTTCTTGTTGCCTTTTGTTGGAGTATCCGTGGCCCTTTTGTGCCATAACTGGTACCCATCGAAAGTCTTTGTGGGAGATACATATTGCTACTTTGCGGGCATGGTGTTTGCCGTCGTTGGCATCTTGGGCCACTTCAGCAAGACGCTCCTGCTGCTCTTCATCCCGCAGATCTTCAACTTCTTATATTCAACGCCACAACTTTTTAACTTGATCCCTTGCCCGCGTCATCGGTTGCCCAAATTCAATTCCGTCACTGGTCTGTTGGATGCATCGGTGACCGAATGGACCGTGCCACCATCACCACTGGTGGCTACTGCTCTCAATCTTCTGCACACATTACGGCTGATGCGAGTCACCAAGAACGAACAGGGCCAGATTGTGGAGTCTACAAATCTCACCATCCTCAACCTGTGGCTCGTATGGGCTGGGCCGATGAAGGAGAACCAACTAGCGTGGAGCATGGTGGCTGTTCAGACATTTTGCGGCCTTGCTGGCCTGTTTGTGAGGCACCGCCTAGCACTGCTGGTATTCCGAGAAGATAACCTGGCCTTGGGGGGTTCCGTATAGTAGTGGCAGTATGATATAGTATAGAATATTGTAATGGAGATGTTTATATCGAATGCGAGTACCCGGAAGGACCTCCCTTCCTTGCCGCCACCTAGACTATACAGACAACCCAGACAGTCTAATAGTCGGATGAACGAACAATTAGTATCCCCCATTGTCATTGCCATGAAGAACCCCTAATTAGCTCCCCAAGGTGGTGTTCAAAGCTGGCTTGGAGCTAAACAGTGTCGTGAAATATTCAGAATATGTATGAGCCATCGGTGTATGGAGCTGAAGAACATGAACGGGGGACGTCTCCATTGGTAATACTTAGTAGTGCCCCACATCTTCTCCATACCCCACATCCTCCACCAACACACCCACTAGTAGTTGGTATGTATTTCAATCTAAAGATATCCCAGCCGTGCACTGTGCCAGATATCACTTGCTGCACGCCGACCTCTTCCCCATACCTCAACAATAACGGAAGACTCTTTCTTTAAAAGTGAATCCTCTTACACCAGCTTTTTTTCTTCTGCTTTACTGCCCCTACCAAATTGGAGAATGGCCATATAAGAATACAACTCAATAGAGTAGAAGGCAACATCAACTAACCAACAACAACCTCAATCACACTATCGTTCAAGTTCTCCGTATAAGTTTGCACCTGGTTAATCTCCAATTTAGTGCTCTCTAAGAGCCCTTTACACTATTCCTGCGTCCGCACCCGAATGTCCAACGCCGCCATCTCAATGTGTCGAGTTGCGTTTGCTGGTAGTGGAACCCGACATCCGGGTGAACCATGTCATCAATGGGGTCGTGAGAGTCCGGCGCTATAGCTTGATTAATGTTCTTCAGGATCTCCAGACATCTGTGAACAGGCAAGTCTTAGAGAAGATTTCGCAGGTAGTAGAATTGTGCGCCTAATCATTCTTTTTGTCAACACTGCCATAGGAGGATTAGCAATTCTATGTTCATGGCTTTCTAGAGACTTCTTGGACTGCATGGTAGGAAGCCAGGTAGGGCAGTAAACGGCCTGCCCTTTCGGCTTTCTTCATCTCCAGTCCTGGCCAGTCGTCGAATGTTTTTTCTACTAGCACCTTCATTTCTCTCGCTTGTACTCGTGTATTGCTCTGCTTCGATGTTTTGGAGTACTAGTATATGCAAGAAGAATATAAGAGGGATGATAAGATCGACGAAAGGCGGGGACTTGACCGCAAAGACAAGGGCATCTAGTCCGCTACAACCCCAGAAAACCTCATTAAATCCCGACGAGTGGAGTATTGGGGCCCGTTCCACTACTGCCACTGTATAGATATCTACTCCGTACTCCATCCGAGTTAGCCAATCAACACCGCTACCGAACCGAAAGGCTACCTAGTACTTGTGTACGGATACTCAGATGGTGACCTCGTCTCTCCTATGCCATCCAGTTAAGTCACTTACCATCTGTGCTGCACCACCCTTGGGCCCGCTCTATATTGACGGCTCTTTAAGAAGCACTGACGGATATGCCTATGTCCGTAGCCGACATAAAAAGCCAGTTGTCTCCAGAGCTGCCACAAGCGATCTATTTAAATCCCAACATCTCGCCTGTATGGATAATAATCTTATCTGAGCTGTAAATTGTATCCCGCCTTGTCCCTACAAGTTTCGCTTGTTGACTTAGGGGTGAATGGTGCACTCCAATGGAGGATATAGGACCTACTTACTCACTATCTCTTCTGAATAGTCTTGCCATAGCGTCCTACTTGGGAGACGAGTGAGTTATCTGTACACAAAAGGTGCCCCAGTAGCATCGAGTTGACACTGACTGGCTGGTTTATAGGGTCCAAAGAACGAAAGATCCCACGAACTTGCTGCTGAAGACGAGACGCAAAACACCTGGGATTCAGAAACCTTCTAAAGAAGTTCGACAGGTTGACAAACATTTCTCCTCATCGGTAAACCGTGCATTGTACTCTGTTCGGTAGCATGGCATAACATATTGAATTTCTCCTTAGCTACCACTATAGATTACTGCAACTTTCGAACAAGAGCAAACGGCCCGCATTATCATCTTTCGAGAGAATGTCTCCTTGGGAACGTCTGATTGGCATTAACATTCAGGAAAACTCAACAATAATACACAGAAGGTGTGAACAATAACGTGTGGTCGATCCACAAGTCGAGCAGCTCCCTCTTTGACTCATCTTCTCGCTCTCGAATCTGGCTGCACCATGCCCCGATAACGGATAGCTCTCTACCTGCGGGTATGACTCAAGCGGAAGCCGTGAAGTGTGATCGGCTGATTCGTACCTTATGGGAACCACTAGTTGGGCTTATCGAAAGCGGCTCTGTTGGACCTGCGAAGTATTGACATGTGTAAAAAGGGAGACGTGCGAGACATAGCACTGCTCAGCTAACTATAGCGCCAGAAAATCGGCCAAAAGTAATTTCGTCGACCAAATTAGGCAATATTGCAAGCTAGTGCCATGCCCTCCAGTACTTACGGACCGGGCAAGCTAAGCATTCCAAGTGGGCTGATCATTCCTCTTCCCCGACTAAACAAATTATCGGACCGGAACTCCAAAGGACTCCGGGGGTTCAGCCGGAGATTGGCGGTCAATGATGTGCCGATGTATGATTATTCGTGATCCTGACCAACCTGAACAAGAAGTGGATGCGGCCAGACTGGAGGCCTGCAATCCGTACAGTGCTGGTGATACTACAACACATCCGGGAAAGATAGACAGCTGTTGCATTTCTACATGAACTAGGTGCTTCTAGTGTCAATCCGCACATGCAACTCATACTCTTCAAATCCAATCAATCCAGACCGGTTAGTCAGGGCGGCGTCATTTGCCGCGTCTAAGCGCCACTCCGGCCGGTGTCGGACCCCAGAATTTTCGGCCGCAGCCAATCGCCACCCAGCAATTGGGTGCTGACCACCGACACCGGCGCTGCCCCTCGACAACCCGCGCTGCGACATCGCGGG